ACACAATACAATCGATCAACCGACCACTCATGTCCCCAAAATTTGTCTTATGTTATTTGTATAATTAAATGTCCTTGTACCAAACATTTTTGTGTGTTATAACTTATCAAATTATGAATCAAAACTTAGATTTAAACTAACGGGTTTAAGAATAAATTGGTATCGAAATCATGATTCAATTGATTTGAATTTCAATATCTCAAACATAAGTAATTCAGGATTTTCACGTCGTCCTGAGTAGAACTTATGATTCACAAAACGTAACATGGATATTGATAAGAGCACATAGTTTTACATAATCTATGAGTACGAGCAGATTCCTGAAAAATATGGAAAAGTATAAGTGCAGTATCATCAGGACAAACACTTTCTAGGCAGGCACTGACTCAAAATTTTAATGGGAACGCACGACACAGACCATAAAAACCCTAGAAAAATTGTTGAGGGCACAAACAAAGGGGAATGAAACTGGATCTTCAATAATTTCCACTTTAAATTTAAAAATTAAATGGTTTCTTTTATTTAATCATGAAAATGCAGAATAATGGCCACATATGTCTGCTTAAAAGCCAGCCTCAGATATCACCTACTGTATAATTCAGGTGCCTTTTGTTTGTGAGAGTACAGTGGAAGTGTGCGTGGAACACTGGAACTTACCTGGCCAGAGTCGAGTTCCTTCTTCCAGGCACGTATGAGGAAAATGTGGAACATGGGACCGCCTGGCTCTTTTAGTAATTAATTTAATTATTTTTAAAAGCTAGTATGTTCTTACCACTTAGTATTACGACTTAGTGTTATTCTTCTTTACTTGTAGGTAAGAATTCTTAGGTTCGATTCTCGCCAAAGACAAATTTGAACCATATTATTACTAGCCCATTGTAAAGATTAGCCTACTCTCCTACTCTTTTAGTGTAGATAACATCGTTTGTTTAAAAAAAAAAAAAAAAAAAAAACCAGTATGTTTTTTTCACTTGTATGTTTGAATCTCTGAGTTTTCAAATTTTGACTTAGATTTGAAATCAATACAAATCAAGTCAAATCTTTATAAAATGATATGATTTTGAAACTATATCTGTTTATATCATACTTAGGGCCTCTGTATTTAGACCTCGTATAAATACTCGGGGACTTAAATGTAATTATGTAATAAAGGAAGAGGCAAATATGTAATAAGTGAGGAGCCCTTATTCTATAAAATGACTCATCACCTTCACAATTAGAAGATGACAATTCCTAGGCCCTCTCACCCCCTCTCAAAGCCTCACTCTCATTACAGAGGCTCTCATACTCTCTCCCTCACAATCCTCTCAGAAATACAATATCAGTGTGGACTTAGCCCAAACATTGGAGTGAATCACGATACATCTTGTGTTATTTATATTTTTTGCAGATTCACGGTCTGATTTACGTTGTTCCAAGACCTCCGATTTTGTGCATCAACATTATCATTTCGTCTTTTCAACATGATTAGCAAACAAGTTTTTAGATTTAGTTTCTAAAATAAACAAAGAAGAAAAAACTTAATACAACAGCATAATTATCAAACGATTTCTTAACAAGAGTAAGAAGAAAGTTGAAGTGGAATATCATGATGTTTGTTGGTAGAAACCTTGTGAACATCTCCACCAGTTGGTGGAGGGCAATGGCAATTGAAGAGCAACGACAATAATGTTGCCTCACTATTCATTCTAAACAGTAAATATCATTGTGCAAGTCCATTCGTTTGGAAAGAGGAAGGACAAGGGTAATTACTATTCACAAACAATTTTTTTATTTTTTTAATGTTTTCTTCGTCTTATCTCCACGTATCATTATTGCCGTAATTTTATAGTGTAATTTGTGTGTTGAACTTTGTAAGATTTTTAAAGTGTGTACAGTATCTGTAAGTTTTTAAATTTTTTGGTAATTTTTATGATTTTTTTAATTTTTTATAGTTGATTAATCCTAATTGTTGAACTGAACAATTATTTTTTAAATCAAAGGCTCACAGAGAGCCACATGGGTGGGGAAGTGGAAGAGATGGTGAACATTTCACGGAGTGTAACAGTTGACAACAACTCTGGGCTTCAAACAGGGCGCAAGCTCTTGCAGCAGCCTTCAACCCAATTACCTCTCATTTTGTAGACTAGTGAAGGAGATTTTTGGCGTGAAAGGCAACTCAACCCAATTGTTCTTGCAATTGGATGACTGGTGGAGATGTGGAGCATTTAAGTTGCAACGTCAGCAACGTCGGCAGCCTATATGTGTCGTCGGCAACGACAATTCCCATGATATTCCGACACGTGTTGCAGATCCAAACGAAAAAAATTAATAAAAAAAAACTTAGGAAAAAGAAATATTTATAAAATAATTCTGTGTAATAATTAAAAAACCACAATAATTGAGGCAACTCGTATAGGCTATAATAAAATGTTGAAAACGAGGTGTGAAGATTTCTGGAGGGAGGATTGGTGGCATTTGGGATCCTACTCGACTCCACACATACAAAAAGTGCAGAGCTTTTTACATGGAAAAGCAACATCTTACTAACAAGTTGAAACCATCTTTTGGTTTTTGAGAGTTGGTTGGAATCAAATCTTTATAGGTATCATCATCCATGATGTATTGGATTAGAAAACAAGAGCTTAGTTGGACTAATAGCAATCTGCCAACTTGTCATCTTAATTTTATACTTAATTTTGTTGTTTACATCACTATGTAGCACGATTAGTGGTATTTATCCTTATTCGATGGTAGGATGACTTATGTTGACTCTCGTGAACGATAAGTTCAAACTAAATTATTATGATGATTGATATATTATGTGTCCAAATCCCCCACTATTTAGCATGAATATATTATTATTATTAAAAAAATAAAGATGAAACACGACAGTTTATTATATTTATTTGTTTGTTATTTTTACTTTTTGAACTGCTTTCGGAAGAATTACATGTGAGGGAACAAGAGGCGCTTTTCAAACAAAGAATAAGCAACGTAAGTTGGTAATTATGCTGATGCGACTACAAATTGGTTCGATACAACTCGAGTTATGAATATATTTTAGGTCAAAGTAGGAGGCTAGAAAGGTGTTGTTACATGAAGAGAATGTAAGAGAGCAATATTAGCAGTGGCTTGACCTTTAGTATGCCCTATGCCTAGCCTAGGGTTGATTCAATTTCAACTATATGTTTTGGGAATTATTATTAGCATTCCAAAAATCTCATTTAGCACTTCAAACTTTCTATAATTAGGATAAAAAATATAATTGTGAAGAATTTAGAATAAGATTTTTAAAGTACTAATAACGGTTCCTTATATTTTACTCATCACAAATTATAGTATCTACCAGATAGTGTGGACCCCAAGGAATATGCAATTAGAGGAAGAATGACCCTTGATCAAAAGGAATCTCCATGATCAAAAGGAATCTCTATGGGCCCATCTAACATAATAGAAAATATAAACATCGTCGGAATTGATCAACCGACCTAGCTCTTGGATTGGTGGATGGGACTGTATGTGTTCGGATTGACCAAACCTCACACCCGGGCTTAGGACGCGGTCGGGTTAGGGTAATTCGTCAATGAAAGTTTTAATGAACTTTTCTTAGTACTGTTTACTTTTAACGTTAATAATATTTTTATTTTAAAAAATCACTCATGGTATTATTCACTTATAATACATTTTTGTCATTTTAGTTAAAACTCAAAATTTTCAAATCATTTTTATTATTTTTCCTTTCGTCAATCAAGTTCAACTTATACTCCTCTTAACAAAGAAAATTTCAAGTGTAACATGTGTATACAATCATTTACTTATCTTTTTAGGTGTAACATGTGTATACAATCATCTACCTATCTTTCTCATTACTGAAATTTTGTGATCAGTGGAGTAGCAAGAATTGTGGTCCAAGAGGGGCCCAACACGCATTTCTTATTTTTGAAAATTTAAGCATATCTTGCTTTCGACCAACTTTCGTTTAGGTTTTGAATGATGAGTATCCACAAATCTAGGACCTAAACTTGCGATATTACGCCCACAAAATAAGTGAGGGAGTCATAAATTTTGGAATGTGATTTCCATACTTCTTTTTCTCCTTCTACACTATATTTATTCTGATTGTTAAATTGAATAAATCAGAACAGTATTTACGAACATTAATACATAAAAATGTGTAGAATGAGAAAAAAAAATGTGTAAGAATCATTTTCCTAAATAATATAATAAAAAAATAATTGTGTAAAACCATAGCGAAAGCTTCAAGGAATAACCCCCAGTCTCTCAACCTCTTCCTCTTTCTCGCTATCTACTCAAAGCTCCATGGCTGCCAGCCTCCTGAACTCCACCAGAGCTCTGAGCCTACCAAAAAACTCAAAGCTAGCATGGTATTAATTTTTTGAACCTGAGAAGAAAAAAAAAGAAAAAAAAAAGGTCAAGATAGGCCTGAAACCATTGTAGTCCTTTCATAGCTCCGCCAATGCGTGTAATGAGAGAAATATATACATAATTATATACAAGAAATGATAGAGAACTTTTTCTACTTTCCAACCTATCATCCATGCATAACTCATATCTCCAATCCATCCGCGTTGCACCCCTATTTCTAAACTGCACTTCTATAAGAGTTTGAACTGGATCAAGTCACTATATGTTTGTGATGGGCCAAGTTAACTTGATTGGGCTTATTCACAATAAGACCCATATGCTATTCAGCAACAACGTTGACTTAATTTCCGGTGTTTGGACTGCTAACTTGATATTTGATTAAATTCTATTATCCATCCTTACATAAATTAATCCTATTATCTTATTCCTAAATATAGCTTGTAACAAAGTCGTTTTCTTTTTATCCGTAACACCTACGTTTAAACAAAGCATATATTAAAGCCATTATTTTGTCACAATGTCACAAGTGAAAATCCCAAACCTCTCCGGATCACCTATAAAACGAAGCCAATTTTAACATGCCCAAATCCTCCCCTCCATCTCCCACCATCTCTGCCTCTCATCTACCCACCATGGACGACGGCGGACAGCACCATGGATTTAAACTCACCCCTGAACTCATCGGCCTAATGGGCGTTGCAGCCGGAGCCATAATCGTCGCGACGTACCAATGCCTTGTCAACCACATTTGTTGCAGCCAAATGCGCGTAGAATACAACATACAACAAGAACAAACACAAAATGAACATGAACAGCGTCTTCAAGGGCATCACGTCAACCAAAACCTCAGATCAACAACTGCACACAGCGTTAACTCGCCCTCCTACGATCAGTTGATCCCGGTTTTCAAGTACACCAAGGAATGCAGAGAAGGAACCTGCGCCGTTTGTTTGTGTGAATTTACCGACGGCGAGAACATCCGTTTACTGCCGGAATGTGTGCACTTGTTTCATGTGGGGTGCATTGACATGTGGCTCAGCTCACACTCTAACTGCCCTCTTTGTCGAACTGATATTATTCCTAGACGAGCACCGCAGCACGTTGTTCCTCCTCCGCAAGATGTTGTGACTCCTCCTCCGCAGAATACTTTGCCTTCACCACAACATGTTGTGATATTGATGCCAAATTTCGGCGCGGTTCATAATATGAGTACTTGATCTTTGGAGTCATGGATTGATGGCTTTTATTTTTCAGTTGATTAAGCTACTTTTGTTTAAAAGAGTGTATCTAGTTAAGACTTGCTCAAATTAGCGGGTGTTTTGCCGAATGAAAAAAAATGGAGGAGGTTTCATGTAAGTGTGATGATTTTGCCGCTCCAATTTAGCTTCTCACGCGCTCTAACTTACTTAGCTTATAATTAGGGGTGTGATATCCACACATCCTTCTAATTTTTAGTCGTCGGATCAAATGAATTGAAGAAGATCAACGGACAAAAATTAACAAATGATGAGTAAGAAGTAAAAAATAGTGTGTGGATAGCTCGCCCCTATAATTATTATACACTTGTAATGGCGAAACCTAAAAATGAGAGTCATTTTCTTTTCTCATTGCGATGGACTATAGGATTGGTGTAAAAGTCGTCCTACCAGTTGCGCGCCGAATTATAGTTGTCTCTCAATCAATCCAACCTGCCAAACTTGCACAGCGATAGGCATCACCAGTTGTTCTATAGCTAGTCAACTTCAAGTTTTGTTTCTTGTTCATCCGGGCCATACTTAGTGGAACTGTGGCCCAATTTTGTATCTGGTTTAATCCAGTCTGTTCTATATCCATCACAGAGGACCCAAGTTCAGACAAGATCCCTTATTAATAGGACCAAGACAAAGCTGGTGTAAAAAAATACCGACTTCAAGGTTTGTGATGTTGTTGAGTTTATACTTTGGTTTACAGCTTGCTTTTGATAAGGGTGATACTAATCTTAGTATTGTTATTGTTATGTTGTTGAAGCAAACGTTGTTAATTTCCATCCTTTGGACACAATCATGCATAGCTATATATTAATGATGAGACAATTGAGGAGATGTGAGTTGAAACACATTTACAGAGAGAAGAATACTGTGACGGATCATTTGGCTAACACATTTACAAAGAGAAGAATATTGTGACCGATCATTTGGCTAACTAAGGTTTTAATATGGATATTAGCGTTCTTGTATTTGATGAGTCTCTTGTTTGGATTAGACCAGCTCTCATAGATGGTGATGCTAGAGTCCCTCAGGCTCAGTTTGTGTATGCTGATATTTTGAAGTTTGCTCTTTGAGTTGTATTCCTCATTCTTCCTAAAGAAAATATATATCAACTTACTCAATATCTATCCATAAATTTTTCAGTGCGGTCATAACTCTGCTATGAATGCTTCTAATTTATCCATACTAGCCCGTATGACATATCATTGCATTTAAATTATTTTTGACACCCCAAAATAGTGATAACACATGCCTCGGTTACTGTTTTTGAAATGAGAGGAATGCATGACTACGAATTTGGGTTGCCAACAATAGTTCTCTACCACATAAATATAGCAAAATTATATGTATCTTGAATGTGAGATGTTCATTTCCAACTATTAGAAAGTACACTATCTAATATAAATTGTTGCGTAATAAATAATTAGTGACGCGAGAGAATGACTAACAAATCATATCTCACCATGATCATACTAACTGTGGTAAAATATGGATCCATCATGAAATTACTTGAAACTTGTCCTCAAACCCCACACACGTTCCCATTAATAATTGCTCTTCACAAACACAAAGAAAACTCCACCGCAACACCTCAAACAAACAAAAACACAAATAGAACTCCAAAACCTCACCCTCTCTCTCCCTCTCTCTCCCTCTCTCCCTCTCTCTCTCGCTCTCATCATGGACAGCGCACCCACCGTTCTAAACAAACCACCGCCACCTTTCCTCATGGACAGCGCACCCACCGTTCTAAACAAACCACCGCCACCTTTCCTCATGGACAGCGTACCCACCTTTCTAAACAAACCACCGCCACCTTTCCCAGCACCGCCTCGGAGCGTCGACTTCTCCGCCCTTGAATTTATCCTCGGCCTCATCGCGGTTATCACCATCCCTGCTCTCGTCTACGCCTTCTTCTTCGCCATCAAGTTCCCTCCAAACCCTTTTCGCCGGCGACCCCACCGGACCTCCACCACCTCCCCCGGCCCCACCGAAACTGAACCCAACACCCAAAACAAAAACGACGTAATTTCGGAGCTCAAGTACCAGAAGGAAGCCCACGTTAAGGAAATCGGAACAGAGTGCCCTGTGTGCCTGTCTCTGTTTGCCGACGGCGAAAAGGTCCGGCAGCTCTGCGTCTGCAAACACTCTTTCCACTCTCTGTGCATAAACATGTGGCTTAAGGATCACTCCAACTGCCCCATTTGTCGAGCTTCAGTCGCCGTTGATCGGAGTAGTGGTGATAATCGGACGGCGGCTGCTGGAGCTAGAGGCAGTGATGATCTGCAACAAGGTTTGCCTGATGCTTCTGCCATGGTTTGACAATTAATTCTTTCTAGGATTTTGGTGGTTTAATTCTTTTTCTCTTTTTCTTTTCCGAAGTTTTTCAAAAACTCGCCGACAGAAGTTGTAAACTTGTATCTGTAGTGAGAATTAGGGTTTGAGAGAAATGCCAAGAACTAGTAGTTAATCTATGATTTCTATAATTTGAAGACCATCTGAAATTTGAATTTTCATATATTTCTGGGTAGCTGGAGGATATCATATATATATATAATATTTGGGGGTTAAGGATTGAAACTTGAAACTCGTACTGTTCTAGTTTTTTATCTGTATTACACACCAGATGATGTTGCATTTAAATTTTAATTCTCATTTGGTTTTTTTTAATGTAAATAACAGTCTAACATATACAAATATAATTGATTAAAATCACTGAAAGAAAATTAAAACACTGAAGAGGATTTTTGCTTATTGATGGAGAACATTTTGGCATTTTGCTACTGTTGTGAAGTTCTTAACTGTAGGTTAAAAAAAAGTATGATTTTTAAGAGATTTTTATGATTTAACCAAAGTTTATTTATTTATTTATTTGCTTGGTGAGTGTTGGGTATTGACAAAGAGTGTAGTGGAGTGGTTGAGTCATAAAAGTTTTCTTTAAACCATACTACACGTAATGGTGTTATTGTTCTTTGAAATTTAATTAAAAATTATGAACAATTAAATTTTTTTTTGGTCATAAACAACCAAATTAACAAACGTTTTATTGGACCATATTGCTTAGATTGATCAATTACAATATTATAGCAAGAAGTTGCCAAGAACCTACCTTTGGAGAGTTGTCAACAACCCATTTGATGTTTCATTGTGAATGGGTGAGTGACCAATTTTTTTAAACAAAATTTGTAAATCAAATGACGTGGTTGTATATGATTAAATTTAACTAAGTATTGGTTGACGTGCTTGTTTCTTATAGTTGACACACATTTAATTTGCAATTTGGTTTAAAATGAGATAATGCTACACTTACCCCTTAGGTGTATCATTATTTGTATTATTTTTCTAATCGAGGCAGAGACCATCAACGCATGTGGATTCCATCTCAATTAGTGAGATTGTATAAATGATGATACATCTAGGTGGTAATAGTAGTATTTTTGTTTAAAAAATTTGGTCTCCCCAACATTATTATTCATAAATAAGTTGCCACATCCTTTCAAATATATATTCTTTTGGTAATGAAATTAACAAGGATAAAATCCTTCAAAAGGATGGTGGATGATCATGCATAACTTCTAATCTTATCTTGAAAGCAGAGATATTTTCACATACAACTGGATATATATTCGGCTCATCACATGATCAATGTTGTGTACAATATTTGTTTTGTGCTTATTTGGACAAAGGAAAAAAGGTCACCTTTATGGGGATTCCAAATGCATGGTTAAATGAAGGCAAAATTCTTTATGCTTCACGTGTTCTCTTATAAGTCTAAACTTGGTGAGGAAATTTCCGATATCACACCAATAAATTGAGTCGTCGTATAACGAGGCCCATTTCGTACCAAAACCTATTTCCATTGTCTTATAAATTCACACTCATTTTTATCTTTCACACTTTCTTAATTTCTCATCGTCAGATTAAATGAATTGAAAAATATCAAATGACAAAATTAACAAAGGTTGTGCAGGAAGTAAAATTAAATATATGGATAAGATCACTCTAATCCTATTTGTGTCTTGAAACACAAGGACTTTTCGCCAAGATTGATTCATACAGTCCTTAGTTATATTTGTTTTGGAGCAGACTTGACTATTCAAAAGATAAGTAAGAACTAAACTTCGTATTTATAATCAGAACCATTCATGTTATAAATTACTATATAAAGATCATCTCTAAGAAAAAAAAGAATCAATTAAAACTAAGGTCTTTTAGAAATTGAACTATATGAAAACTGAGAGACATAAATGGTAAAAGCATTACAATCTATTTCTGTTTGTTACAATTGACTAATTAAACAATCTTAGTTTTAATTCATTTTTTGCAAAGATGGTCTTTATAGAGTACTTTTCATAATATAAATGGTTTCGATTATAAGCACGAAGTTCTTTGAATTGAACATGAAGACTTTTGAGTAAGAATTCTTAATTATTCTTGAGTAGCCAAGCATTATTTTTTTTCTTCTCCAACTATTAATGAAGCTATCAATCACATTAAAAAGTATTAGGAGAATATTGCCAATAACACACCCCGACCCAGAAATCAGGGCGTGCTGGCCGTCACGTGAGTGTAACGTAACCAAAAGTGCGATACGGAAGCAAATGATATAATAAATACGAAGGAATAAAAACTAACTACTAACAATAAAACCAACTAGCGTGCTAGAGTGAGTTATATAGTAAGACACACAATTTAGAGCGTAGGTACTAGGTGCAGTCAAGTAGGACTATAATTAAATTACAACACCCGCAGGTGAGTCCTACATGCAAGGTGTCTGTCAGAATGCCGAAGAGAACCTCGTGAGCCACCAACTGCTAGCTAGAACCTGGAGGGGCGCAAAAACAAAATTGAGTGGGTCAGTAAAACCAAAGTTTTCCAAAACATTTCATTTAAAACATTTCTAACCCCTCACTATAAAACCTGTATATTTTCCCAGAAAAATAGTATATAAATATATATATATATATATATATCATCAAAAGCTCAACTCACAATCCTTCACCGCTTTTCAGAAAGAAGATGCCATGCCATGCCAAAATATAATATAAATGCATCAATATAAACCAGGTGAAATAATAAATCAACCGGAGACCCTACAATGGTCCTGTACGGCTGATTCTATAGCTCAATATCCCATCCAGCCGGAGTCACCCACAGTGACCTGTACAGCCCTGCCGGAGTCACCAACTGTGACCTGTACGGCACTACACTGCACATAAGTCGGAACTACCTATAGTAGTCTGTACGACTATGATGGTGAAATAATACGCTCTAGTGCTTCTCTCATCAATCATCTGCACGCGTAATCTAAGGTCACCTACTAGTCGGAACCACCTCTAGTGGTCTGTACGACTAGCATGTCGGAACCCTCTCGGGGTCTGTACGACATGCACCTACTTGGATCCAAGGTGAGCATGCGATGCGGTGAATAATATAAGCACTAACACCAAGGGTGCAGATTATGAGTTCTCAACACAATTCACATTATCGATGATTCACATGATTAACATAAAACTCACCTGATACTCACATGTGCGTCCACAACACCAATTCACACATATATATGCATTAATATCAATTCATAATATTCATAATATGCATGCATGGCAATTGAAAACATACTTTCATATAAATTCAATTTCTGGGAAAATTAATAGTATATAGGTATATACGAAAACAAAACTGCCCACTCACTGGTAAGTCGATGGGTCGTAGCCCCCGTGACGTCCTTGGATGCGCTCGTCCTCGGGATAGGTGTCACCTATATGCGAAACAACTATAAAAACGTTAATTAATGCACATAACCGACAATTCGAAGTAATTTCTCATACGGTGCTCAATTTAGGTATATGAATATATCACATCGACCTACTCGACGTCACGGACGTCGAGAAATTTTTAGAATTTTTTTTTGACGTGGCACACACCCCCACGGGCCAGGGCAGGCACGGGTACATGCGCCCCCCCACGCGCGTCTTCTTCCTTGGTTCGCCAGACTGTGTTTTCCGGTGGTCGGAAAACTGGGGATTTTTCAATCCCCTTGTTCTCCCTCATTTCTCAACCGTTTTCTTCGTATTTTATATCAATTTGAAGCCCTCAACATGAAGAGTCACGATAGACTAGTTTCAAGGTCTAAAATCCACTAGATTTTACCTAAGAAAGCTCGATAATCCGGCCAAATTTGAAAAACTCCGTTCTCAGTCCTCCGACGTCCAAATTCCAACGAAGTACCCCGAAGCTCGTGAGGATCTCCTTAAGCTCACTATGGGCTTGAAATTCCCTGAAATGCAAGATTTTACGTGTGCATGAACAGTGCACATTTTCTGGGTTAGGGTTTCACGACGATTCTGAGGGTTTTAACTTCCACAAATCACATATACGAACTCACAAGCTTACTAGGAGTCCAAATCTTACCTTAGAACCTTTGATCCGTGAAGAAATGGGAGGTTCCTAGCTTGTCCGTACAATTCGAGAGGGAGACAGAGAGAGGAAGCCGTGAGGGAGGAAAGAGAGAGACACGGGGGAGGGAGAGAGGGAAGTAAGTGTGTGTGTGGTCCATCACAAACCCTCACCATCCATTTCTTTTTCCTAACTCCCTAACCACACAAATTACAAACCAACATTTTAATCCCACTTAATAATTTTATAAAAACTTATGAAATAAATGTAATTAGTCCAAAAGATATGTCACACATACACATGCCTTAATACCCATCAAGGGTAATTTCGTCATTTTACGTCCCCGATATATAAAATCCCGGAACGGGTTGTGACAGCCAAGCATTGCTTTTTGTTATATGAGCTCTCATATTAATTTTAAGGGTAAAGTACAAAAAACTACCTCAACTATTGGTGTCACGACACTTTCATACTTCATTTTTTAAAATTGACAATGTCATACCACATCTTACGAATTTGTGACAATGTCATACCTCTGTCAGTTTTCTGTTAATTTCTCTGTTAAATGCTGACGTGGCCCGACACGTGTCCCACTCATTAATCCAGCTAGATTAAAAAATAATTAAATAAAATTTTAATAATTAAATATTAAAAAATTAAGAATAAAAAAACAAAAAAAGAAGTTCCTAGGGGTGCGGTGTCCCCTTTCCTTGTCCTGCACCAATTTCAATTTTTTTTTTGTTCTTTTCTCTCCTCCTTCTTCATCTTCATCTTCATCTTCTTCTGGGGCGAAACTGGATTTGTCTTTTTTTTTTCGTTCTTCTTCTTCTTCTTGGGCCGAAATTGGGTATGAATTTTTTTTTCTTTTTGTTTTTTGTTTTTTTTTTTGTTTCTGGGTTGCAGGTAGAGGGAAAAGGGGACGAAGATGAAGATGGGGGAGGAGAGATGAGTGCGTGTTGGGTTGGGGGGGGGACGAACCGGGTTGGCAGAGTGAGGGAGTCGCGAGAAAGGCGGGAGAGAGAGAGAGAGGAGAGAAAGGGTGGTGGAGGACGGGTGGGAATGGGTCGGGTGGGAAGAGGTTTTGGGTTGCAGAGAAGAGAGAGTGGCGAGAAAGGGGGAAGAGAGAGAGAGGAGAAAGTGAGAGAGATTTAATATATATATATATATATATATATATATTTTTTTTATTATTAAAAATATATTTAATTATTTTTTAATCCAATTGGATTAGTAAGTGGGACACGTGTTGGGCCACGTCAGCATTTAACAGAGAAATTAACAGAAAAACTGACGGAGGATGACATTGTCACAAATTCGTAAGATGCGGTATGACATTGTCAATTTTAAAAGATGAGGTATGAAAGTGTCGTGACACCAATAGTTGAGGTAGTTTTTTGTACTTTACCCTAATTTTAAGGTGGATTAAGCTATCAACTTAAATAAACCACGTTATACTGAAACACAATAATCTTGCAAAGTGATTATATTAAAAAAAAAAATGGATGTGCAAAGTTATTAGGGATTTATACAATTGGATTTGCTGGATTTAGATATTCGACAAAAAGATTAGGTTTTGCAAATGAAAGGAATTCGACATGACATGCAACTTTCTTCTCATTTTTTTATTAGTTAGTATTTTTTTTGTTTTCGCATAACATAGATTATTTAAGTTGATATGAAAAAGAGCAACTCTGTAATTTAAAAACGATGATAGATTAAAAACTTTAAGGAGTATGGTTGAATTCCTCCTACAAATAATTAAGTTAGAATTAACTTTAATGGTAGTGTTAAATCTGATCTTGAGGCTACTTTGGGTTTCTTAATAAAAAAATCAAATTGTCACATATGTTATATACGTATCTTTTTCTATTGGTCATTTTTGTGTGTTGCAAGCTGAAGCTATAAATAATTCTTCGAGAGATGTTACATTAGATAGGTCTTTTTTGGCGATTCGTATAAGTGACCGAATAAGATTAATAATATAGGACTAGTTGTTTTGGTGCGCTTATGTATTAAATACTATTTGTATAATTTATTTGGTCTTACCTTTTAAGTCCAATTCACACTCGCTTGGATATCCCTCCAAAAATCTCGGTATAATAGTTGGGGCCAATGACACGCTAACTCTCGCTTCCTCCTTCTCTCTCGTTATCTCTTTTTCCTTCTCTAGTTTCTCTCTTGTGCATCAGAAACACGAAGAATCAGCTACCCACTCTACCTTGCAGGTGATGGCGAGCCTAACTGCGACTTCTCTCATCCCAAGATCCCCTCCCTCTAACGTCCTCACACATCGGCACCGGCTATGAATCAAACCCATTCCTCCTCATCTCTTTGGCCGAATGATATTCACAATTTTTTTTATATCCGAAAAAGATTCGAATTTTAATCTCCAAATTTGCCCCATTTGGACGGTCACAATTATAGAGTCGCAATTGGGTCTTAGCTCAAGACGAAAGTTCGAATGACAACAAATCGTAACCAACATTTCAAATTAAATAGAGGTGCTACACTTATAATTTATTTGTATCATTTCTCTAATAGTACGGTCCATTAGGACATGTATGTATCATCTTTAATACAGATATATGTTACAAATAGACAATAAGAATAATATTTTTTAATTAATTAACCAACTACTAGTCTACTATAATTTTCTTAAGATCATATGATTGTAACCGTTTATCGTATATCGTGAAGTCATAAATTATTTCAAAATTTAAATTTTAAAATTAAATATATATAGTATCCAACGAAAAGCCACCGCACACTGTACGAACGGGATTTCTAGGTTCCGCCGGATCCTTTTCCCTCCCCCACTAAACCCATTTCCCACCTGTAACCACCAAACAGACGCAAGCTCCACTTCACGCCGACCACCACCCTTCGCCTTCTCACTCCTCCCTCCAAACAACCGCCCAAACAATCCACAAATCTCTCATCTTTTTTACCAATTTCTCCAAAAATCCCAAAAACCCACCTCACCTCCATGAAAAGAGCTCGCTCTCAATGGCTCGTGATTTTGACCGCCACTTCCCTCCTCTTCCTCTTCCTCCTCACCCTAACTCTCGCCGGACACGGTAAATACTCCTCCTCCGCCGCCGCCGATTTTTACTTCGAGCAACGCGAATTCACTACCCTCGACCGGAATTTCGAAGACGTGACAGAGAACACCGACGACGAAAACAGCCACCGGTTGGGGCTTCCGAAACTCCCGAGATTCGCCTACCTCATATCGGGCTCCAAGGGCGATGGTCCCCAGCTGCGGTGGTTCCTTCAGGCGGTTTACCACCCGAGGAATTACTATTTACTCCACCTATCTCGAAGCTTCTGATGTTGAGTGGCTCGAGCTGGCGAAGTACGTGAAATCGGAAGGCACGATTCGGGAGTTTCGGAACGCGATGGTGATCGGGAACGCCAATTTGGTCACCGCCAAGGCCCCACCATGACTGCCGCCACGCTCCACGCCATTGCGATTTTGCTGAAGCGGGCGAGGATTGGGATTGGTTTATTAATCTCGGCGCCTCGGATTATCCTCTCATGTGCCAAGACGGTAGCTTTACTATTTGTGGTAAATCTAGTTAATTTTTTTGATTAAGGGTTCATTATGTTTGCTAATTATTATTTGGGTTATCTAGATCTGTTGCATATATTTTCGTTCTTGCCAAGGGAGCTCAATTTCTTGGAGCACACAAGCAATATTGGTTGGAAAGAGTGAGTAAAGCGTAATGCTTTTTAAATTTTAACATGTTTGTTTCGAGTTCGAGTGTTGGACGTGGTTTTATAGTTTCTCACATTGTGCAAATGTTGCAGAAATCAAAGAGCAAGGCCTGTTATTATTGTTCCTGGTTTGTACCACTCTATGAAATCCGGTGTGTATTGGGCGAGAGAGAGAAGATCAATTCCCGCTTCGTTCAAGTTATACATGGGTACTACTCCTTTACAATTAAGCATAGCATACGTTGCTTATCTTGTGCTGGCTAGGATAGAAATGTATGATTTCCTACTTTCCGGTTGAGTCTATGAAAGGTAGGACCGAGTGGATTCTGCTAGTACTACTAATGGATGCTTGTGTGTGCTAATACACTGTATGCGTCAACACTTGTTAGACGAGTGGTAGGGTTTTGTTAGGTGAATCGGAAGTTATGACATCGAAATGGTTTCACAATTTTCATACCCTAAACCCTATTTATACTGCTTCAAAAAACCCAGAACAAATTCGGTTCTTTAGTTTTAAGCTTGCTGTACAGCCTCCGTACTGTAATTTTGCATTACATCATTTACCTTGAGAAGAAAAAGCATGAAGTATCTGGTATTTCTTAGAACTATGTGTTCAATGTGCTTTCTTCATATAACCAATGCAGCTTTAGAGCCGAGTACTATTTCTAATGAAATTAGATAATTTCTGTGTTTCGCAAGACTGGAGGTCATTCGATTATCTCCAACATCAGTATGATATTGGAAAACGTACCATCAGTGTTTCTTTAGATTTTTAACAAGTGCGCTGTCGCAAAAGTCATGTTTAACACTTAAATTGTAACCTGGCGTTTTTATATATTTGGTTTTTGCAACCTGATTGGGAATCTGAAAATGCCATTTACTTGATGCAAACGAACTTATTGTACTTGTTGGGAACTTGTAGTGGGTTATGGAACTGTAATCTATCTTTTTCAGTTGCGCTCTCTGTGGCTGATGGTTTGTTGTACCATTTTATTTTGCACACCTTGAACCTCAAACTTTCTGCTTTCAGGATCGACGTGGGTGGTGCTGACGAAGTCATTTCTCGAATTCTGTGTTTGGGGTGGGACAATCTTCCCCGTACTTTCCTCATGTACTACACCAATTTCTTGTCATCCCCAGAGTGCTACTTCCACACTGTTGCCTGCAGCCATAAGGACTACCAGAACACAAGCGTGAATCATAACCTGCATTATATAAGGCGGGATAGCCTAGGGGTGGGCAAACGGGTACAGGAACCGCGGGTCGGGGCGGGTAATTAAGGTTCGGGGCGGGTACGGGCCGGTTCCAATTATTTAATAGGGGAAACGGGGCGGGCCGGGCCGGGCCCTTGATATTTTAGGGACGGGCCGGTTCCAAATGTATAGAAAAACGGGGCCCCGGACCGACCCGTTTTTAGACCAAATGGACGGACGAGATTGAAAAGGAACATAACGTCCAATCTTCACCGTTGATTTTACCCTAGTCTACTCTCTTTCTTTCCTCTCTGATCGACTTCGACTCCTCTAAATCTGTCTTCTTCGGTTCTTCCGCTCTTCCGCAGCTCCGCTGTTCCGTCTTCGACACTCTCCGTCTCTCGCCGTCATGCTCTGCCGTCTGTGACTCAAGTCACTCAACTGTCTGTCCTCTCTGATCGAGTATTCTTCGATTCTTCTCCTCGACGACATCGGACATCCTACCCAGACTTAGAGAACCCAGGCACCGCGGTCCCATACCACCCATCTTCTCGTTCTCCTTCTTTCGTCCCCAACGACATTACTGCCGTCGCGACCACGAACACTCCATCGCCGCCGCCAGTTCAGGTGAATTCTTTACTGTTTGCTGAATTCTTCTATTTTTTGTGTTCTTTGGTATATATTTTGGGGAAGAATTGTTAATTGTGTGGATTTTGGACCAATTTGGTAATTGTTTATCTAATTGGTGATCTGGGTTCTTCGGGATTTTGCAGGTGGCTCGGGCTTCCGCATTCTCCTTTCCTTTGGACTCGTATACGGAAGCATCTTCTCAACTGCTCAAGTATCTCCAGACTCCAGGTACCTCGTTTCCTTTTTTTTATTTCAATTGACGCACCTTTTTATTTTATGAGATAAATTTGTTTTTTTTTATTACAAATTTGTATTGGGTTGGTTTAAATTTGTTCTTTGTATGATTCCTTGTTCTGATGTCTTCTGATTGAGGTGGTATGAGGCTGTGCAGCTGTGTTTTTTTCTTTTCTTCGTAATGATTTTATTAAAAGGAGATTTTTAAATGACTGATGTTGTGGGGGTTCTGTGAGTGTGAGTCGATAAGTTTTTATAATTTGATTGGGGAATTTAGTTGCTTCAGATCTGTTTGCCATTTGAAAAATTGGGTATTGAATATTAAAATGGTGTGTTTTGTTTTGTTCTCTTCCATTAGGTAGTCCGAGAGCAGAGAGGGATGCAGTCCGAGACGGAGCAGGTGCCACCAGAGTCGGAAAGCATGGAGGTGTTGCTTGTGAGGATGTTGGCCATGGTGAGAAACGTGGCGGTGCCGGCGCGGGGCTCGGTGGAGAAGCTGTGGTGCGACAACGAAGGCAGCATGGCGGTGGTTCTGGAGTCCTTTCCGTAGCGGTTTCGCAAAAAAAAAAAAAACCAAGGACCGGCCCGTTTCAAACGGGCCGGGTTCGGTCCGATTCCTGTAATGAAATATGATGTACCCGACTCGGCCCGGCCCGTTTCTTTTAACCTCCGGTTCCTTGAAAATTAGGTCCGGCCCGGCCCGTGCCCAGCCCTAGGATAGCCCACTGAAGGCAAATCCAATCATTCTAACGTTGGAACATTACAACGACATGGTCCAAAGTGGAGCTCCTTTTGCCGGCACATTTGCCAGGGACGATTGTGAAACTTGTTGCAAAGGGGTAGAGCAACTCATTGTGAAACTTGTTGGTTCCGAAAATATCAGGCCTAAGCAGTGTAAATAGTCTTGTTAAGCGCTGTCCCCCTATGAATCGTTTCTGCTACGATATGACGCAATGTATCCGTATTACGGATTGTCATACTGTAACAACTAAGGATTCAAAGACGAAAGTTTTTTCATCACAAAAAGAAAAGAAATAAAAACAAAAGAGACTGAGTCGTAGTAGGTTAATCAGAACTTCATCTCACAGCAAAAAAAATTCAAAATGATTAGTGGCTTCGCCCGGGTTCGAACCGGAGACCTTCAGTGTGTTAGACTGACGTGATAACCAACTACACCACGAAACCTTGATGTTCTAATCCCGCACCACATATTATAATACTACGAATAAAAATCAAACACGGGCTGGCCCATTTGGATGGGCAATTTCGTCAATTGGTCTCTGGGCTTCCCTTTGGGTTCATCTGGGACTGTTCCTACTTCCTACTTCGTATTCGCGGAAAGCGGGAACTCCAAATATGCTGCAAAAATCCCTCTAGTTTTAGGGTTTCGCGTTCCTCCTTTCGAAAAGCTTCACCTTCCCTCTTCAGGTTAGATATTTCACTATTTTTCCAGTTGAATGCCTCCATTTTTTTCATTATCTTTTGAAATTTAACCCCACAAATACATGATCATTGAAATTATTTTCTCTACTTTTTTTATTGATGAACAATATCTGGATTCTGATTGTTCTAGTAAATTTTGAACTTCATCAATTTGCTCACTCTGCATTTTTTTATTCAATTGCTATTTGGTCATTCTGAATTGATATATTTTTTTTTGGAAACTCATCAATTTGGTCTCTTTCCTTTCATGATGCAAGAAACAAATTTCAAACTGTAAACACCTAGTTTTTTCTTCTGATTTTTTATATTGAATTTGCAGGAACTTAGGAATTTGAGGATCACTGCCAAGTGTAGATACTAGAACAATATGGATGATAATTACTCTGGGGATTCTTCTAGTGGATTCTCTCAGAAAAATTCTAGTGCAGCAAGTTCTGTTTCAGCTTCAGTGATGAACAATGCAGCTGCTTCCGAGAGCGCCCGAAGTTCTGTTGAGATGTGAGTCAAGTGGCTTATGCGTTTATTCGCTCTTCGTATCCATATGTTATCGTTTCAAAATTTTTGAGTTCTGAAATGCAGCTGCTCCTGCTTGATGGCTGCATCAAGTGGCATTTGTTTCTCAAAAACGTTTTTTGTTTCTTTTCCTTTTCTTTTTGTTCCTGCAGAAATGCACCAAAGAAGAAAAGGGCATCGGCAATAATGGCGGGAGGTCTGCGAGAGTTCAGTTCAAGAGGTCAGTAATTCATATGAACGATTCAGATTTGTGTGTATGTGTCTGTGAAAGGAAAGAAGAATATCGTATTCGTTGTAATAGATTACTACTTGTAGGAGATGGGGCTAGTCAACATCTTATTCTCTTCTTCTTTTTCAGTTTGCAACATATTGGAGAGCAAGGGAACAACCACCTTATCTAAGGTATGTTTTCTTTATTTTTCTAGAGTAACTATGAAGTTTGTTTGGTGAAGGAGCGTTGGGGAAAATAATTAAGAGATCCCTTACGTAGTAACTAGTAACTGTTTATAGGATCGTGTATCTATGGTTTTTCATTGCGGATAATGGGTATGGCTTCTCATTGAATTAAATTTTGGAGTTCGTCGTGGTTATGCGAAGGAAAGTTTTCCAGTGCCACCCAATCTTCAGAATTTTGTAATTTATTTTGGCTTCTTTGACCAGTGAGTGGTTGAGTATCAGTATTTATAGTGATGATGTTCAGGTTGCAGATGAGATAATTTCTGAGTTTTCTGGAAATGACTCTGAAACAGCAAAGTGTTCGAAAGAGGTTCGATTCAGAACAATACATGGAACCGATTTTTGAGTTATAATAATCATTACTTCTACCATTATTTTTCCATCATGAAAATTACTCAAGTAAGTTGTGAAAATGATTTTTCAACTTCTCAGTTTGAAAACGTACGACGTCGAGTATATACTGTGTTCCATGTTCTTGAGGCACTGGATATCGTCACAACAGCTAAAAAGGAAATCAAGTGGAAGGGGCGTCCTTCAGACAGAAGTATAATGAATCTGGAAGGGATGAATGTTAGTGAATGTCATTATCTTGATCATGTGATACATCAACATACTATACAATAATGGGATGGAATAATTTGACAATGTTGATTTGGTTTTTGATCCTTTCAGGAAGAGTGTGTCAAATTGGTGAATACGATTGGAAGGAAGACGGCATACTTGAAAGAATTAGAAGAGCAAGTAATGAAGTTTTACATACTTTACGTCTGGTTTTCTTCGTTCATGATTTTGGAGTCTTCTGTGTTTTTAGACTCTTATTCAGTCATTGTAGGAATGTTTTAGCTAGTCTGACTTGTGTTGGAACATTAGTTGTTAAATTGCAATAACCAGTTGGCGTGATTGCTCGTAAAAAAATCTGTGAAGACTAGAAAATATAGAATTTAGCATTGTTTAATTTGTCCCAAAGAAATTACTCTACCGGCTTATGTTCTAATCGTCTTTTTTATTTTTGTGGAAATATGTTAAAGATTGCAGATCTCGAAGATTTAATGTTGCACAATAAGCAGTTGCTCAAGAATGGGAACACTCTTCCTGAAGGATTTTCGTTGCCATTTATACTGGTTCAGGTATATGACTTTATTGTCCTCCGTCTGTTTTGCATGACTATGACTTGTTTAAAGTTCAAAAAAATCTGTTCCGAGTCCTAATGATCGCACAACTGAAGCATGCGGTCTCATTCCTTTTGAGTTGAATTTGAGCATTTCTCAGTCCTCACTCTGCTCTTTACCACTTAAGGCAATGACCAAGAGCCATGATACTCAAATTTATCTTCTCTGTGGATTAGGTCAGAAGGGCACTAGTTTTGTTCACATTTCAGCTGATGCATAGACTATGTCCTTTGTCGGGATTGATTGTTGACCAGCTAGTGCACACTTGAATAGACTTTGGACTTTATTTTTTTTGGAAATCAATCTGCAATACCAGAGTGTCTTGCACTGCTAGACCATGGTTGTGTTCTTTTTTCCTTGGGTCGAAAATGGTTTATACAAGCGCAGTCTTTAGGCTTCTTAGGTGGAATGTGTAGGAAAGGATAGTATGTTGAAAGGAAGGCATACCCTGTTCCTAATGTTTGTACCATCGATCAACCATCTGTATCTATAGTTCAATTTTGTGTAACGTCTCTAACATTCTTTAACACATTCAAATCAGGTGCGAGAACTATTGGTTTTACAAGGATTAGAATCATGGGTTCTAACTTATATAAATACATAGGGTTCACAATTGTAAGCAATGTATTCAACAGCTTGTGTATGTGTATGACCGTAATTACAGTTTTCAATTCTTTTCCTTCTCTAGACAAGCTCTCATGCTAGTGTTGAGGTTGAGATTTCCGAAGACATGCGCGTGGTGTTCTTCGACTTCAATAGGTATCCATACTTTGTGTTACTTTGGAGACACTACAAAGTAGTTGTGAATAATCGTTCTCTTACTAGTTAAATTGTCTTTTTGGCAGTACACCCTTCTCCTTGCACGATGATGCAACCATTGTGAAGTTATTGCAGCGTCACCAGCGGCCAGAAAGAACAAATGCTTCTCAAAGTGCTTCAGTTCACTCGTCTCCACGCTCTGGCGCTCTGACCAGACCTTTCCGTTGGAACTCCGAAACAGATATTCCTAAATCAAAATGAACAAATGTTGAGATGGTACCTAACAGATACACACGTATTACTGGAACTTTGTATAAATCGTTCTGAATGGTTTGAAGGTCTCAACAATTACCTCTGAATTGTATGGTTTCATGTAAGTCTCTTCGACAACTTGAGCCTGTGTTATCAAATGTGCACTTTGTTTCCATTTTTTTGGTTTAAGGAATTTGCTGATACTTTAACAAGCTTCATACTCTGAGGAATTCGCTGGCAGAGATCTTCGCGGAGAGTAACTTTTTTTTTTTTCGCACCCCCTAACCCAAAGCGAGCGTTATTTCTCTCCAAACTTGTGCCACGTGTCTCTTTTACTAATCATGGTTAAACAATGTATTTAATTAAATCTCCACTTAAAAGAAAAATAATTTCGTGAAATTTAAAAACTTAATATTTATTCTTTCATCAATATCCCACCAATTAAATTATTGGATTGATGTTGTGATTCGAAATGATGCAGGTGAGTTCGTGGCTGGGTGTGCAGTGCAAGTGCATCTAAGCGTTGGTGCAACTGAACTTGTGTTGGTGCTGGAGGCTTGTGTGGCAGAGAGAGTGAGGCTGGGCATTAAAAAAAAAAAAACCGATTGAACAGCCGGAATTGCACCGAAGGTTTGGTTTTTTTTTCCGATGGTTAAACCGAACCGTGCCGACCTTAATCGGTTTGGCAATCGGTTCCCAAAATTCTTAGGGTACGGTTAACCAAACCGATCCGAGAACCAAAATTCTTAGAGAAATTTATTATGTATTTTCGTGTTCACACAAATCGAGAACCAATCCAAATCAACCTGCCACATTCAGTTAACTGACCTGATCGGTTTTAGACCCAACTGGATTGGTTTCGGTTTGCAATTTTGGCCAAACCGACTAGATCGGTTTGATTTCAGTTTTAACCCAAAATCGACCCAAACCAACATGTGCCAACCCTAGTGATTGTCTTGAAGTTGATAGGAACCAAGGGTATGTGTATGAGCTAGCCTTCGAGAATCGAAATAATATCATGTAATTGGCAACGGCGAGATGACAACTTGGTGGCTCATGAAATTGCCATATTTGCTTTACGTTCTTATTGTTTTCTGGTATGGTGCGGGCATGAACTTTTATTTTATGATAGGAGGAAGGGGTAGTGTGAAATTAAAGATTGCAATCATCTATTATTTAAGGAGAGAGAATAGGAATAAACGGTAAGTTTTATTTTTAATTCGTTTATTTTTTTTATTTCCATAAATATTTAATCAAATACACAACATAATCATGGTCAATGAATGCGACACATGTAGCTTTTTGGTAGGGGGGACTATCTTGGGTTTTTTTTTTTTTTTTTAACTGACGATAGTATCTATACTAAGCTGACGGAAGAATTGGGTAAGTGGTCATCTTGGGTTAAGGGGTGAGCAAAAATAGTCTTTTTTTTAGAAGAGAGAGAGACACGACGATCTTCTAGGAGAGAGAGAGGACGTTGGTGGCTATCTTTGTAGAGAGAGGATATGGAAAAGATTGAGGGTTAGGCTGTATCCAAAGTTGAATTGTGTCTGAAGGTTGTTTGGTGTATAAAAACTCTAAAAACTCTAAAAACGTTCTGTGGTTTCATCAAATAAGTTTTGTTTAAGTTAATTTTTAGTTAACTTATGAGAACAAGCCTACAAAACTAGAATTTGAGTTTAACCATGGCAAGTGGTCTAGCAGAAACGTAATGGAATTTCCAATCGAGTTTGCTCCCCAGTCTTTGTTTCGAGGCACGAAGTTGACATAAACACGAGTGATTCTCAGATTAAAAGTTTTGGGAAGATATGTGTCTTTGATTGTAATCAGGAGTGGGCTAAATACCTTAACCTTTCCAAGCCTCAGTGGAGATTATTCCTACCCTTTTGGGCATGGGATACCTCAGACTTCGGCAAAAAAAAAAAAAAAAAAAAAAAAAACCAAGAATTTGGGTTTAAGTTATTAAAAATTGTATCCGAGTTGAATACCAAACAGCCCTAAGCATTCTTCTACTCTTCTTTGTAATGTTAAAACTCTTTAAGACTTGATTGTTAACTAACAAAACTAAATGATTAAAATTGATCAATTTTAACATATGCGAGTTAGGCTAGTTGGTCAAGATTCGCTCTCTTGCATTTGAACTTAGAGTCCCCTTCTTAAATTTGAGTATTTTAGAATCTAAATGAGAAGCCATTATTGACAAGTCATTGTGCACTCCAAATTTACAGAAGCATAAGAAAAATTTGGAGTTCGACTTTAATGTTACGTAGCACTCAGTTTAACGTGTATTTTAGCCGTTAAATTTGACTATCATGGCAATTATATGTTTTAATTTTCAGTCTTAGTCACTCACTTTTGAATCACTTAATGTTGCATACCATTAAAGAAAAATTAAAAACTTTGCATTGAGAATAGTTCAGCGTGATATTTTAAAGTGGCACTAACACCCTAGAAAATATCCCCTTGTCAAAAGATTGCTAGGAAACAATTACAGGAAAAATGTGATTTGAACTTGAACTTTATGTAGTCAAAATTGAGGTGTATTTTTGCTCACGATTTTTGAAGTGTTAGTAATATTAATTGCTTTACTTATTATCATTAAATGAATTTAAATTTTAGAATTATGTCTATCTACTGTACAAATATCAAAATTTAAACATATCTAATAATAATAAATAAAGTTGTAAACATCATTATTATTTGACGCGTTAAGCCAAATATTCCCTCAAAGTCGTATGCATGGCCATCGTCATATCTTATGGAGATTGGATCCAAGTCATTATCTGGTTCACAAATAAGATTTTATTAGAAAAATTAATGAAAATGAATTGAAAACTTTGAATTTTAACTAAAATGATAAAAATGTGTTGTGAGTGAATTATACCAAGAATGATTTTTTAAAGTAAAAATATCTTTAACTTTAAAAATAAATAGTAACATGAGTGTTTTATTAACATTCTCTATTTTATTAGAGGAGGAAAAAAAAAGTATCACATGGAATGTGAGAAGTGAGAACGGCAACGAAGGCGCGTGGGCAGAAGGGAGGGAGTAATATTAATATAATATTCCCATGCAAAAATAAAGCAAGAGAGTGGGGTAGGGGGAAGGGAACAGAGTGGACCGGGTAAAAGGGTTCACTCGGTCGGACACTTGGACTGTGACCCTGTGAGGCCACTCCACCAAAGCACAAGAACCACCTTTTCTTTTTAATTAAACTAAGGCTCCCATAACAATTTCATTTTTCATAATTTAATCATGCATTATTTCATATTTTAATCATAAGATATTGGGTCATGTAGTCTTTTTATTTTTCAATTTACATTAAATTTATTTAATTGTGGGAAGTGGATTAAAGTGAAGCGTACTATTTTTAGTTAACTTCATTCAAATTTCGTTTGCATTGAACTATGATAATTAGACATATAAATTTGACACATTTATTAGTTATTAACATAATCTCCAACACAGTAAACCTAAATACAATAATAGAATTCATCTGTATTAAAAATTGTGTTGATAAGTGTATCAACATGAGAGTTGCCCATGTAGAGGATCTGCACCAAATTAAACTAACACTACCACATACATAATATGATATAATACTTAAGCTGCTCTCCACACATAATAATTTATGAACAACATCATCAACTTTTTCCATGCAGGATGAGAGCCACTCATCTCTTTTTCCCCAGCACAGCAGAGCACAGCACAGCACCCACAGTAAGAGAGAGAAAAGCTTATGGATTAAGAAACTGATAGAGGGAGAGAACATCCTTCTCAAAACCCTAAAAAGTAATAAAACAAAAAGAGTAGTCTTAGCACAGTGAGAGTGTGAAGGAACAATGTTCAACCAAAACAAAACAACAACAAGAAGTAAAATTATTAGTATATAAATACATAAAAGGCTCCTCCTTTATTTTTGTTCCTCACCACTCCCACCCTCCCATTCTTTCTTTCTATCTTCCTTTCTCTCTCTCTGCAACTCTCTAGCTTCTCTCTCTTTGTTGTTGATGTGATTCTCTCCACTATTATCTTCAAAAACCCATCAACCTTTTACAAAAGAGAGAAAGAATTAAAGACCACCACAAGAGAGAAGCATGGTTTTCTCTTCCATTCCAGCTTATCTTGATCCAGCCAACTGGCAGCAGGTAACCTCTCTATCCACCTTCTTCAGCAACTTGGTTTTTCTCATGGAATTTCTTTCCCCCAAAAAAGTGAAAAAACAAAAATTCAAAAGCCAAATATTCTTATTGCTTTTGTTTTGTTTCATGATCTTCTTGAATATACCAGATATTTGATTTTTGCTTTTTAATTTGATTTTTCTCTCTTCTTTCATTTGCAGCAACCAAATCAGCACCACCACTTAACAGGAAGTAACACCAACAACAACATCGACAACCACAACTCTCACTTCCTTCCACCTCCTCCGCAGCCTCCGCCTTCAAACCCTCATGGAGGCAGTGGGGTAGGTGGCTCAGGCTCGATCAGGCCAGGCTCCATGGCAGATCGAGCCCGCATGGCCAACATCCCCCTCCCAGAGCAGGCTCTAAAATGCCCGCGGTGCGAGTCTACCAACACCAAGTTCTGCTACTTCAACAACTACAGCCTCACGCAGCCCCGCCACTTTTGCAAGACCTGCAGAAGGTACTGGACACGCGGTGGGGCCCTGCGTAACGTTCCAGTTGGCGGTGGCTGCAGGAGAAACAAAAGGAGCAAAGGAACCAGCAGCAGCGCCTCCAAGTCCCCAGCCAGCAGCTCGGACCAGCCAACCGGTTCGGCCAGTTCGTCAGGCCACGCAAATTTAGGGTTAAACAACAACAGTGCGGCCGGCTCGGCGGATAATGATAACATGATGATGAGCCCGCAAATCCCACCGCTCCGTTTTATGTCGTCTTTCCCCACCGACATGGCCTTAAATTTCGGCATGATGAACAATAATAATAGTAGTAATTATGGAATTGGAGACTTGAGTGGTTTTCATCAGATGGGGAGTGGTCTAGGAGCTAGCGGTGGATCGCTCTTTAATTTCCAGCAGCAGACGCCGTCGTTTCCTTTCATGGCGGGGTTGGATCCTACGTCAGCGGGGCTGATGTTCGAGAACAGTGGAGTTGAGCTAACGGGGTATAATCAGGTGCGGCCAAGAGCACCGTCTGCGGGGATGAGTATACCTCAA